GAATTAAAGAACAGAAATTTAACTTGGGCACAGTGGCACACACTCATAATCCCAGCAGCTCTAGAGGCTTGAGACAAGAGGATCACAAGATCAAAGCCAGCCTCAGCAAAAGCGAGGCACTAAGCAACTCAGTGAGACCCTGTCTCTAAATAACATAAAAATAGTGCTGGGGATGTGGCTCAGTCGTTGAGTGCCCCTGAGTTTAATCTTCGCACACACACCCCCCCCCCTTTAAAAAAAAAATATCTTGAAGTTCTGGAGGTTAGAAGTTCAATATTAGTGTATCAGCAGGATTGGTTCTTTCTGAAGACTGGAAGGGAAAATAGCTTCTTGTGTTCAGCTGGCAATTGTTGGTGTTTCTGGATCTTTGTGTTTTTTTCCTGGGTGCAATATCTGTATCCAGATATATCCTAACTGGAGGAATTTTGGGATGTATGGTTTAACCCATAAAAGCAAATACCTGATTCCACATTCTAGTGAAGCTCTTCCCAGTATTTACCTTTCAAATGGTTTTTGATCTTCTGTTTGCATGGATCCTCTCTGTTTTCACATTCTGTTGCCATTGTGCTACCTTCCTGATGAATTATGTACTGAGTATTGTGCCAGGCCCTGGGACATAACCATGAAGTAGAGCAATTGTGGTATTATGACATGTGCTACTAGGGACACAAACCAGATGAAGGGCTCAAGGGACTGACACGCAGTCCTTGCTTTGTTGGAGATTTCTGTAAGGCGGTGAGGTTCAAGGCCTGAACAATGTAAGGGCCAGTGTGGTGAAGAGTTGAGGGAGAAGTTTTTTCTATTCAAAGAAAATGTCCATTACTTCAAGGCACAAATAAGAAGTAGGCTACTAGGGTAGCAGTGGAATTGTACAAATTAGATTGTAGATAAAATTTGGAGATAGAATTGACAAGATGTGGTAGTGAGTCAAATGTGGAGGTAAATGAAGAGGCATCAAAGATGCCTGGTTAATTTGGGGAATTTTTTGTTGTTATTCTTAATTGAAAGTTCAGCAATATATACCTGTTTACAGGAAGGGATTGTTCAGTTTGGAGGTAAATCAGACTGAAACTGTTAAGTTGGAAGGGACTACAGAACATTCAAGGTAGAGATGTAGGGCAAGCAATTTAATGTATTTTCTCATGGCACTGAGTATAGCTGCTTGTCTCTAATTCAGATTTTTCATGGAGCTGAGCTATGCTTTTCATATGGATACCAGTGAAGATCTGTGCCTAGACTCTGCTGGCCAGAGTAGGGTAATAATGGTAAATGCAGAGTGAGATTTAAGACCTTGCTTTGCACTATATGTCATAGAAATAGATCTCCATGCTGATAGAAAAGACTTAAGAGCAAGAGCTCATTATTTCTTATCTGAGGTACATTAGAAACAGCATGTCTGAATTCAAATGCAAATTTGTGTCTGAAGAATATAGCTCCGTGGTAGAACTAAGTTAACATGTGTGAGATCTTGGGTTTGATCACCAACACTACAAACAAAAGGGGGGGGGCAGATTTGTGGGACTAAGTAAATTTTGTATTGTTAACAAATTCCCCAGGTGATACTGATGTATACTAAAATTGAGACGTATTATGCTTACTCTGCCCAGGTGCTGTATTGGTAATTCTTCAGAAGTTTTATGGGTTTTCATCTCCTTATAGTACTCTTTAAGTTCTTTTCTTTTTTAACAGAAAATATCTATTGCCTTCTTCCCCCCCCCCCCCACTTAATTTTTAGCCAGTAATATCTAAGAGCCTACATCTTCCTTCTGCTACTTTAAGACAAAATTGAACTTTGTATTTAAGGGATTTTTTGGTTATGCTTCTTTTTTTTTCTTTTCCTTTTTTTTTTTTTTGTTTTATAGTCCCATGAGCGTGTAAGCAAGCGACTACATCAGAGGTTCCAGGCCTGGGTAGATAAATGGACCAAGGAACATGTGCCCCGTGAAATGGCAGCGGAGACCAGCAAGTGGCTCATGGGTGAGGGGCTGGAGGGCCTGGTGCCCTGTACCACCACCTGTGACACAGAGACCCTGCACTTTGTGAGCATTAACAAGTATCGTGTCAAATACGGCACAGTATTCAAAGCCCCTTAACTGCAAAACCAGAGAAGATAACTTGAGGGGTGTGTGTGTGTGTGTGTGTGTGTGTGTGTGTGTGTGTGTGTGTGTGTGTGTGTATGCATGCGCGCGCGCGCTGATGCTCACACACACTGAAGAAGAAAAGACAATGCCTTTCAAGTCTCACTGGTCTCCCTGAGACATGGCCACTGATGCAAGCTGGCACCAAGTAGGATGCACATAAGGAATGTGAATACCATACAAAGCTTGAGCTGGCATTTTTCCCAGGGGATTTCTGAGTATTAGCCTGCCCTGGAGGGGAAGGAAGTCCATGCAAGCACAGAGATAATGTGGCTTGCTTCCACACACCAGCAGAGCTACGAATAGTCTCCTGACCTTCGATGAGAAAACCGGATGCTGTTCACATTTTGACTGGATGAAGGTGCATTTACAAAACAGATTGGGGAAGGACTTAACAGTCAAATGGATTGTAACTATTGATGGTCAGCACTCCTCTTCATTCCCTCCAAAAAGGAAAAAAGGCTGGATCTGGCTTTTTTTTTTTTTTTTTTTTTTTTTTTTTCTTCTTCTTTCCTCCTGGTCACTTGAGCACATCTAAAATCACCCATTAGGTTTTTATCTGGGACTCACAGTTTGGCTTAGGGATTAATCATCTTGTGGATTTGATTCCTGACAAATCCCTTGCTGTCCACCCTTTCTCTCTCCTCTGGTTCTCAACTTCAACAAGTTCAAATCAGTTGTCCTTTTTAGCTCCCGTGGAACTGTTTTGTACCTGCTCCTTTACTAGTCTACCCTAGTGCCATCTACCAGCTTTACTCTGACACACATGCACACACACACAATTTTAACTTGTTTTTTTTTTCTTTTTTTTGTAAATAATGTACATACTGTCAATTTTTTATTAAAAGAAATATGCTTTGATGTGCTAGCATAATTGCTCTAGCTTCTTGTGTACCATAGTACTATGTGGCTTCAGATTTAGAACCTATGAACAGATGTATAAGACATTTATTACACTTTTTACCAAAGGGAGTTACCATTGTAGTACTTTTGTGTAAAACTTTGTCTTCTCCTTCACCCCCAACTTTTTTTTTCCTTTCTTTCTTTTTTTTTTTTTTGTACATAAATAAAGCTTGGTTCTTACTTAAGGAATAAATTCTCAACCCAAGTCCCTTATCCTCACCAGAGAACTGCTGTGAAGCAGTGATTCTGGCTTCAGTTCCTTTTTCAGGGTACAAACAGAATTTTGCTTTAAGTAGTCATTAGTCACTTGCACTCCTCCCAAGTTAAAATACCCAAAAATTTAAAAATAGAGTACTTCAATCTTTTAGTACATGTATTTCTCTCTTGAAATACTTTTTATATTGGGTGTTTGTTAAGCTATGTAGCTTGTATTTACAACTATTTTTTTTAATCTTCTCCTTATTGGGAATGAGAGTGAACAACTTAAAATACCAAACCAGTATTTGAAAGAAGTATGTATAAGGTATGAGGTACAAGTGGGCTTGGGAGGGAGAGAATTTGATAAATTTCCTTAGCAACTCCAAGTGTGAGATAGATTTTTTAATCACATAAAATTAAATTGGCATACATTTAAACATGAATGATAAGGAATTTTATATGTGAATAACCTGGATTTTCTGAACAAAGACTAACTAGCCCTCAGTCATCTGGTGGGTTTTTTTTCCAGCAACCATCACCCTAATCATACTAGTCACAGTTGTAATCAAGAGTGCTTTATGTATTTTTTTTTTGTTTGTTCACTTTTTAATTAAAAATCCCCAACACCCAACACAAAGAAAAAGTTTGGCTCCTGGATTTTCAAAACACAAGGTATATATCTGTTTTTAGGCTTTGTGTTACAGGGTGACAACAGATGAATGGCAAAAAGAGCCCTGTGGGAGTAGGAGGTTCTAGGTCAAAGCTGGGACAGATCCTGACTTCTGATCCCCAGTGGGACAAAAAAAAACTTGAGGTTTTCTCAGCAAAACCCATTGCCTTGTGCTCCCCCTCAAGAAAGATCATGATGACTTGAGGCTATGGGGGAAAATTAGCCTGACCGGGTCAGCCACAGGTGTTGCTGCCTCTACACAGTATTGTCCTAAGTACCTAATCACATTTGACATTCTGAATTTGGTCACATTTATATGTTACTTGCTTTTGAACTGTTGTCAACTTGGTCAGTATTTCCACTAAAATATCAGGGCTAATGTGTATATATTTTACCTTCTGAATACTTTTGTAGACAAGATTCTAGCAAACCCAGAAGAGGGAAGAAGGAAGAATACTAGTTGCTCCAATACAGTAGGGATGATGAGAATGAAATTACTTCTGGCATTATGACTTCCATGGACTCTGCAGTCCTGTATGGTGAAATACATTATGGGGATCCCCAATACTCTGATCTGCAATCTCAAATAAAAATTTTTCGTTTCTAGTGGTGAGCAGGAGTTAGTGGTTGAGATACATATAGATAATATAAAGCATGGAAGAGAGGCTTATTGTGGTACAGATCTCTTCCTATTATTTAACATTCTGTCCACTGATCAGGAAAAACCCATCTGGGCGACTTTCCAGGTTAAACAGAACAATTTTCACCAGAATTGGTGTTGGAAATAGAAAGCAAAGGAATTAAAGATTGCTGCTTCACAGCCCTGGGTTTGTAGCAGCTAAGGCTCTTGCCTGTCGTGCTAAATGAATAAGTTGTAAGTCTGTCTCAAGATCCTTATAGAGCTTTTGCCAAGCTTCCCATTTTATTTAGGGACTTACTCTGAGGCCTTTTATCTCAGAGGAGACGAGAGAGCTTCAAAAGCTTAGCTTCTAACCCGAAGTTCAGACAGTGGCTGGGCTCCACAAAGCCTCCGGTGTTCCAAGAAAAGCTGCCCGGGCCGGAAGGCGCCCGTCAGATGCCGGAACCTTTGGTTCCAGGCTGTGGACCGTGCCGGCAACACCCAGAACCTTCCGGGGAGAGGAGGAGGCGCATCATGGCGGCGCCAGCCCTGAAGCACTGGCGCACCACGCTGGAGCGGGTGGAAAAATTCGTGTCGCCTGTCTACTTTACTGACTGTAACCTCCGTGGCAGGTGTGGCCCCTTGCGAGGAGTTGGCCCATTGCACCCTCGTGCTTCAGCCTTACCTTCCAGGAGGAAACGGGCTGTAGCCAGCTGGGTCGCGGGACTGAATGCTTGCATTGGGCAGGGCGGGATTCAACAGGAGAAGGGTAGAGGATGGGATGTGCTGCGGGGCAGTTCTCATGGCGGTGAGCTGGGGGAAAGCTTGTTTCCCTCACCTGCCGGCTGGCTCACGGGCAGAAAGGGGGTGGCCTCAAGCGCGCGCCCACCGTCCCCTCCCGCTTAGGCTCTTCGGGGATAGCTGCCCTGTAGCCTCACTCTCCAGCTTCTTGACGCCTGAGAGGCTTGCCTACCAAGAGGCAGTCCAACAGGACTTCAGCCCCGCACATGTCGGCGACACCTTCGGACCCACGTGCGTAAGGCCCAGCCTACGGAAGCCTTTCCAGGCTTGCTCACCACCTTGAGGCAGAGCCCTTCATTGTCTATCCTCTGCCCTAGACAGCTGCCGGGGACAGAGCAGCGCTCTCTGCTGGAAACAGCTCCCTGGTCCCTCAGAGTCTTTATGGAAGAGTTTTCATGCTCTCTGGACACCCCTTATTTTCCTGATCAGGACCCCTGATTCCTCTACCTCTTTTCCTCACTTTGCTGATCACTGGTTTCTACTTTCTTGGGGCCCAGAGCTGAGTACCTTGTGATGCTTCAGATACTTGGAGGAAGTATCAAACCCCTGCTAACACATAATCCAAGGAAGTATGAGGACAGACAGGACTTCAGTCCTAGGCCCATCAAAATGACTCTCTTGCAGATGGTGGACCTGCTGGTTTAGGGTGGAGCTGAACATCCCAGAGGCATGGGTGGGCCAGGAAGTTCACCTTTGCTGGGAAAGTGATGGAGAAGGCCTGGTCTGGCGTGATGGGGAACCTGTCCAGGTGAGGGTCTCTGCCCCAGAGCCAGGTGTGACCATATTTCAGCTCTGTCTTGAAGGAACAACAGTTAAGGTTTTGCCTGCGACTGGTCTCAGGATTTCAAGATTGGGGAAGTAACTGCTTGGATACCACTGTGGTGGGTCCATAGTTTATAGCAAACTAGTGTTTATCATATGTAGTACATGCATATGGAGGAATTTTCAACAGTTCTAGATAGTATAAAATAAGACAGTTATGTAATTTTCCCCTGAAGTAATAGGTTTCTTCTACTCCCCCATCTCATTCCCTAGATATAACTCCGTAAAGTTTTATATCAGGTTTAGTCTTCGTAATCTTATGTGATAGGTCTTTATGTCCATTAAGAAGAAGATACATAGAGGTTTGCTCACTGGTTCACACAACTTCCATTCCAAATTGGCTTGGACTCTGGATCTGGGTTTAGGACTGTTGTTCTTCCTGACCTAAAAGAAGACAGAGCCCTTCCCTCCCTTCACTGGCTTGACAGAGGTCTCCTGGTGCACTGTCTGCTAAGTCTAGGGACACAGAGAACAAAGCAAACCTGTCCCTAACTTCATGGAGTTTACCTTCTGATATTTATTCAAGGTGTGCACAGGCCTCCTAACCCCTGCCCAGGACTCAAGACCATGGGCTTTATTGCTAATAAAAGGTGCTCTTTGGGGCTGGGGTTGTGGCTCAGTGGTAGAGCACTTGCCTGGCATGTGTGAGGCCCTGGGTTTGATTCTCAGCACCGCATATAAATAAATAAATAAAATTTAAAAAGATCTATTTACAACTAAAAATATTTTTAAAAAATAAAAGGTGCTCTTTGGGGGTCATGGTGCTGGCTGCCCTAGAGAGTGAGACACCTACTACCAGGGGTCCTAATTTGTCAATCTTGGCCTTAATTTGAAGAGAGGAGCTAAGGACCACTTGAAGGAACTTGGCCTCCCTCAATTTATATTTCACTTGAACTGTCCAAAGTCCTCAGGCCCTCTCTTCTGCCCTCCCTACCAGGGGTTGACCAAAGAGGGTGAGAAAACCAGTTATGTCCTGACTGACAAGCTGGGAGAAGGAGACCCCCGAAGGTGAGTGAATCCCTGTGCCCCATTGATCTAGGAGGAGCAGGGGCCCAAGTAACCTCAAAAGCACCCCTACCTCTAATACATCCATCTTACATGATTTTTTCTTGTGCTAAATACAGAAAAGCACAAAGAAATTAACTTCCATTATCTTATCACCTAGAGATGACCATTATTAACATCTCAGCATTCATATTCTCAGTATTTCAGTAAAAAAAAAAAAAAGAAAGAAAAGTTACAGTTGAGATTATATTGCTTCTAAATTTTTACTTGTTTGTTTTTTTATTGCAGTGCTGGGGATTGAACCCAGGGCCTTATGCATACTAGGCAAGCCTCTACCACTGAGCCATACCCCCAGCCCTGCTTTGATACTTTGTATCCTGACTTTTAACATTTCACATCATAATGTGGGATTTTATGATACCATCTGAAAAGCTTCTTAGACATTATTGTATTTTATGTTTATTGAAACTGTTTCAAATAGTTCCAAACACTGGGAATATGGTAATGAATAACCTAGTTCTCACCAGGCATTATAGTGCATGCCTATAATCCTAGTTACTCTGGAGGCTGAGTCAGGAGGATTGTAGGTTCAAGGCCAGTCTGGACAATGTAATGAGACACTGTCTCAATACATACATACATACATAAATACATATATGTATGTATGTATGGGGATGTGACTCAGTAGTAAAATGTCCTTGGGTTCAATCCCCAATAGTACAAAAATAATGTCCTCAACAGCAAAAGGAGATAGAAATACTCATAATTACAAAACCAATGAGGGTTCTGAAAGAAAATACTGGGAACTCAATAGGTAATCTGCTAGACCAGGTAGGGGTAGGAGGAGAGTCAGAAAGCCAAGTTTGCTCTCTAAAGGTTAAGTAGAACAGTTTCACAGCTGAGATGGCATACACAGGAATGGCCACCCCATTTTGGCTTGGTATGAACACTCAGCCCTGAGAGATCCAAGCATGACTTTAATATTAAAGAGGATTCTGAGACAGACATTCCTTGTGCAGGCAGCTTTGAAAATATGAAGCTAGAAAGCAGTGTAATTCGCTTGATTCTAAGCTTGGCCACTATTCTCCCTGGCCAAGGCAGAACACTTAGGAAATGGATTTCACCTGGTGTTTCTACCTTGATCCTCCTGCACACACACCTGATACAACATGGAATCTTCTGGGTGGTGGGTCCTGGAGGTGAATGGGAAGGGGTCAGTTGAATACCTCCCATGTGTCCCTCCCTATGCTCCTAGCGTCCTCTGTCAATCTCTTGGCCTGAGGCTGCTGCCCTATGTTTATAGCCTGACCCTCTATGTGGAAGTAGCCTGCAACGGCCTCCTGGGGGCTGGGAAGGGAAGCATGATTGCAGCCCCTGACCTTGAGAAGACATTCCGACTGAGCCGAGCTGAGCTGGCTGTATTCCACCAGGATGTCCACAAGCTCCTAGTGGATCTAGAGCTGCTACTGGGCATTGCTAAGGTACTGACACCCCTGTTTCCCCTATTGTCCTCTAGATCCAACCTCCAGATAAGTTGGGGTTTTTTGGTTTTTGGTTCAGATTGTTGGGACTCTGGGAATCCAGAGTAGGAAGAGGGTTTCTTTATGTAAAGAGATGGTGCTGAATGGGATCCCTAAGAGGAGCAGAGATTTGAGGTGGTGGTGGAGTCTCTACTGGGATACTTGAGAGGTCATCTGGGGCCTAGTTCTAGAGTTGTGCTCGAGAGGGGGATTAAGGGCAGATACCTGCTTCAGGGCCTTGGGGAGGACAACCAGCGCAGCTTCCAGGCCCTGTACACAGCCAACCAGATGGTGAACGTGTGTGACCCTGCCCAGCCTGAGACCTACCCAGTGGCCCAGGCCCTGGCCTCCAGGTTCTTTGGCCAGTGTGGAGGTGAAAGCCAACATACCATCCATGCCATGGGGCACTGCCACATTGATACAGGTAGGGTGTAGCTGGCTGGGTTGGCTGGGAAGGAAGGAGTACCTTTCAAGCTCTGGCTATGACCTGGAAGTACAATGTGATTCTCAGCAATTTCTTGCCCTTGGAGTTTAGATTTCCCTATCTTAAAAGGGGGCAGAGGGGGCTGGGGATGTGGCTCAAGCGGTAGCGTGCTCGCCTGGCATGCGTGCGGCCCGGGTTCGATCCTCAGCACCACATACCAACAAAGATGTTGTGTCCGCCGAGAACTAAAAAATAAATATTAAAAATTCTCTCTCTCCTCTCTAAAAATTAAAAAAAAAAAAAAAAAAAAGGGGGCAGAGGCACTGAACTGTGCTGTGCTAGCTGAGGTTTATTTATTCTCTCAACAAAATCTGGTGCATCATGAGGCCACTTGCCAGACACCAAGGATGGCATTTCAAAGGCTGATGATCGCAGAGAAGGCCAGCAAGCACAGTGAAGGGAAGACCTGTGGGAGACTGGAGAGTCAGAAGAGATACTTAAGCCCAAGTGAGTTGAGGGATTCAGAGAGGCTCCCTGGACAAGGTGACATTTCACTTGAGTGAGAATAAGGACGTTTTTGTTTGTTTTGGTTCTGGGGATTGAACCCACGGGTGCTTAAACTTAAGCTACACCCCCAGTCCTTTTTTAGTATTTTATCTAGAGACAGGGTCTTGCTGACTTGCTTGGGGCCTCACTAAGTTGCTGAGGCTGGCTTTGAACTTGAGAGTCTCCTGCCTCAGCCTCCTAAGCCACTGGGATTACAGGTATGCACCACCATGCCTGGCAAGAACAAGGAAATTTGACTAGGGTGCCCACGTCCTCAAGAGAGGAGTAATATGAAATTAATTGAGGTGGCCCAAGTACAGGGTGAGGTTTCCAAGGAGGATCAGGAGTTGAGCTGATGGTATTGGTTCCCCATGGTATCTGAATCATAGAACAAGGTCTCTTTCTACGGTGCAACAGTGTAAGATAGATAGCATGAAGGGATTCTGGGCTGAAAGGGTAGGAGCTAAGGCCTAGAGGTCTGGAGAAGCTGTAGTGCCTTCCCAGACAGGTTAATCATAGGTGCTGTGCCCTTGTTTCAATGTATCTGCCAGATGTACAGGGCCAGGCTAATCCCTATTCCTTCTGGGGTGTCTGAGCCTCAGTCTGAGGCTATTCTACAGCCTAGGGCCTCTGTTTCCTAATCTGCAAAAATTTATCTCATATCCCCGGAAGCACCACAGGGCTTTGCAGGGTAAAGGGCCTGGAGGGGAGGAAAGCTAGGATAGCCATTTGTAGGCCCAGGTTGGGCCTAGTTGAAGTGTTGGGGCAGGTGAGGGACCAGAAATCTATGAGGAGCCAGGGACTTTGCCACTCCTCTGCCCTTACTCCTCTCCTCTGTAGCCTGGCTTTGGCCCTTCAAGGAAACTGTACGGAAGTGTGCCCGGAGCTGGGTGACAGCTTTGCGGCTTATGGAACAGAATGCTGAATTCATCTTTGCCTGCTCCCAGGTCAGAGGGCAACTGCATGAACCCTTTAGCTCTCTTGGCTCTTGAGTGTTTTCAAGCCTGAGAGTTGCTCCTCACTCTCACCCACCATAGAGCTCTAGATTCTTGACTCTAGGTAGAGTCATTTTGATTCTTGGCCCAGCTTCCACCCATTTGCCCTACAGGCTCAGCAGCTAGAGTGGGTAAAGAACCGATACCCTGGCCTATATGCCCAGCTCCAGGAATTTGCCTGCCGAGGGCAGTTTGTGCCTGTGGGTGGCACCTGGGTGGAAATGGTAAGTACATTCAACAGTCCATCAGCTTTCGTACATTTGGCCATGGCCTTCCCTCAGATGGCCCAGGATCCCTTGGCTATGCTGGTGACTTCTGCAAGTCATGAAGGGCTTATTATTGCAGGGCTTATTAGTCCCTACAATCCCAAGATCTGGGTCTTACAGAGGAGTTGGGTCTTCAGCAGGGGACAGGCTATCTGCATGGCCCGTTCCCAGCAGCACCCTGAAGTTGGACAGTTGGGCCTGAGCAAAGAGATCAATGCTTCCTGGGGCCTGGCTGTAGAATTGTGTTGGAGCAACCCTGGCTTCTCTACAGTGGGTGGGTTGGTCTGAACTCCTGCCTGTTTCCTATCTAGTACTAATCTCAGCTGCCTGTCTCTCCCATCACTGCCAGGATGGGAACCTTCCCAGTGGAGAAGCCATGGTGAGGCAGTTCCTGCAGGGCCAGAACTTCTTCCTGCAGGAGTTTGGGAAGATGTGCTCTGAGGTAACCGGGGAGCTACTTCTCCAGGCTGTGCTTGGGGAGGGTGGGGACAGCTCCAACTGGAGCTCCAGAAACTCTCTCCCTATAGTTCTGGCTGCCAGACACATTCGGGTACTCGGCGCAGCTTCCCCAGATCATGCGCGGCTGTGGCATCACACGCTTCCTGACACAGAAACTGAGCTGGAACTTAGTGAACTCCTTCCCGGTGAGCAAGCCTCAGGGGGCCAGGGTCACAATGGGCCTGGATCCTAACTGGTCCTTTCTCTTCACCACAACCTCTACCAGGATGGTACAGCAGGCAGAGGAGCTGGTGTAGAAGGCCCACTCTGCCTCAGCCCTGACTCTGGACTCTCCTGTGCTTCTGTCTCCCTGCTGGCAGCACCATAGCTTTTTCTGGGAGGGACTGGATGGCTCCCGTGTGCTGGTTCACTTCCCACCTGGTGACTCATATGGAATGCAGGGCAGTGTGGAGGAGGTGAGTAGATGCCTATTGACTGGGTGGGGGATGCATTGGAGAATTCTGGATATCCCATCCTAGGCTGACCCACATTGACCTTCTCCCACCTCTTCAGGTGCTGAAGACTGTGACCAACAATCGGGACAAAGGGCGTACCAACCACAGTGCCTTCCTCTTTGGCTTCGGGGATGGGGGTGGTGGCCCCACTCAGACCATGCTGGACCGCTTGAAGAGGCTGGGCAATACTGACGGACTGCCCAGGTCAGGCCTGGGCCGTTAGTAGCCCTTGGCTGTACGAAGCCCTACTCTTAGCCCTTACCTGTTGCCTTTCTTCTGCTCATACATGGGGCTCCCCCCTCACCACTGGACAGACCTTATCCTGTTCTAATCTTGCCCCCTTCCCCAACTCCTACTTGAAAATAAGGAGGAGAAATGCTGAGGGTGGGAAGGAATTCAAACCCACCACAGTATGCAACTCTCCCAGGTATCCAATCCAGTACTGTATGGGCAGGGAGCTTTCTAGAATGGCTTCCCTGTCAGGGCTTGACTCTTTATCTCTTGGAGTAGAGGAAGGCTGAGCTTTGTGCCCCTGGCAGGGAGACCCAAGCTTGTGGTCTCCCTCAGGGTGCAGCTGTCTTCTCCAGGGCAGCTCTTCAAGGCACTGGAGAGTGACTCAGAACAGCTGTGCACATGGGTCGGGGAGCTCTTCCTGGAGCTGCACAACGGCACTTACACCACGCATGCACAGGTCAGGGCCAGGCTGCTGGTCTGTCATAGGTCTGCGGAGGGCAAGGGAGGGGAGGGACAGAGCCCCTGTTCCAAGAAGAGGCTTGGAGGAGAGAAGTATAAGAACTTGGTCTTCAGGAAAGCTTGCAGGAGGCAGGACAATCTCTGTAGAAGAGGAAGGTTTGGGTGGAGGGGAGCAGAGGAGAGCACTTAGGGCAGGTTGCCCATATGAGGCCTTATCTGGCAGTCCCTGGGGAGCCATCAGGAGTTCTGAGCAAAGAAGGGCTTTGGAAGGTGTCCTGGGATGCTTGAGCAGACTCCAGACTGATCCCTCCACCTGGGCACAGATCAAGAAGGGGAACCGAGAATGTGAACGAATCCTACATGATGTGGAGTTGCTCAGCAGCCTAGCCCTGGCCCGCAGTGCCCAGTTCCTATACCCAGCAGCACAGCTACAGCACCTCTGGAGGTCAGCCTAGCATCTACCCGCCAGTGCCTACCTGACCTCTCACCACAGACATCTCTAAGGCTGCCCCTCCCAACTTCCCCTTCTCCAGCCTTTCCCCTCCCTACCCTTGGCCCCTGCAGGCTCTTACTTCTGAACCAGTTCCATGATGTGGTCACTGGAAGCTGCATCCAGTTGGTGGCAGAGGATGCCATGAGCCACTATGAAGGTGAGGCTGACAACAGTCCTGCTACTCTCTCCAACCCAGGTCTGAGCACAGTGTCCTTTGTGGACACTCAGGTCATCTCAGATGCACTGCACCTCCCCCTATGACCAGCCAGTCTCTCCTCAGATATCCGTTCCCATGGGAATACGCTGCTCAGTGCTGCAGCTGCAGCCCTGTGTGCTGGGGAGCCAGGTCCCGAGGGCCTCCTCATTGTCAACACACTGCCCTGGAAGCGCACCGAAGTGTTATCCTTGCCCAAGCCTGGAGGGGCCCACTGTCTAGGTATGAGCTGAGAGGTGGACTACTACTGTGTCAGAAGAGACCAAGGCCAGTCAGATCAAGGCAGGGACCCTCCCCTGGAGATCTCTGCCTTGGAGTGTGTCAGGCTGGGGAGTAGTAGCCACATCCTTCATTACCCCTACCCCTACCTGAGCAAGGTTTGTGGAAGGTTAGGGAGGCTGCACTGATACCCAGGCCTCATTCCCAGCCCTGGTGACAGTGCCCAGCATGGGCTATGCTTCTGTTCCCACCCCCACCTTACTGCAGCCCTTGCTGCCCCAGCAGCCTGTGTTTGTGGTACAAGAGGTGAGTCCTGATGGTTCTTGGTGGGGTAGGAGCTGGCCTGGGATACTGCCTAATGACTTGGGTGTTCTGAGTTCCCTATCCTGGAACAAGGGGGTGGAGCAGTATACAGCCCCAGCAGGGCTGGGGTGGAGCTGGGGCAGCTGTTGGTTGTAGGAAGCCTTTATAGACACAGCCTCAAGACCCCCTCCCACTCAAGACTGATGGTTCTGTGACTCTGGACAATGGCATCATCCGAGTGAGCCTGGATCCAACTGGCCGCCTGACATCTCTGGTCCTGGTGGCCTCTGGCAGGTGCCAACTCCTCACTGTCCTTTCCTTGTGCCTGACAAGTGGATCCCAGACCCTGTTCTTTTTGTCCCTTGGCTACAATACTGCCCATAGCAGTCCATCAGTGTCTCTGGGTTGGGACCCACACAAAGAATAGCATTAGCCAGGCTAGGAGTCCCTGTCCTCTGGGTCTCCTTACCTGCTCCTACCCCACCAAGTGCAACTGGAGAAAGCAAGGTCATAGAGTTGTAAAACACCAATCCCCATGTCCTTCCAGGGAGGCCATTGCTGAGGGTGCTCTTGGGAACCAGTTTGTGCTGTTTGATGATGTCCCCTTGTACTGGGATGCATGGGATGTCATGGACTACCACCTAGAGACACGGTATAAAGCCGGGCAGGACTAGAGACAATGGGGGGAGCTGGGGAGATACTGGCTGCCCTAGCTTAGTGCCTCCTATCTCATCCCACAGGAAACCTGTCCTAGGCCAGCCAGGGACCCTGGCAATTGGCAGTGAGGGTGGCCTTCGGGGCAGTGCCTGGTTCCTGCTACAGATCAGCCCCAATAGTCGGCTTAGCCAGGAGGTTGTCCTGGATGTTGGCTGCCCCTATGTCCGCTTCCACACCGAGGTAGCAGGGGCAGGGTGTGGCCATCTTTCCCAAGTGTAACTGGTAAGGAGGGGCCAACCCCAACCTATGTGTGTCCCTCCCTTCCCTGTTCCCTTCTCTCCCCTACTCCTAGGTACATTGGAATGAGGCCCACAAGTTTCTAAAGGTGGAGTTCCCTGCCCGAGTGCGGAGCTCCCAGGCTACCTATGAGATCCAGTTTGGGCACCTGCAGCGGCCCACCCACTACAACACTTCTTGGGACTGGGCTCGATTTGAGGTCCGAAATGGGGAAGGAGGGAAAAGGAGGGGCTTTGATCCTCTAAGGAGACTAGTTGTGTGGTATGGGAGAGGACGAGGAAGATGGCCAATATTTTCCGCCTCCTAATGTGTCAGGCATTATGCTAATGCTTTAAATTTAGTTTGATACTCATGACTATTTATTCCCACTTCACAGAGGAGGAAACAGAGACTGAGGCACGTTGGGTGGTATGCCTGGGGTCTCCTTGAGTGGGAGCTAGAATTCAATCATGGGTTCCAAAGCTTGCTGTCACCCAAGTGACAGAAGCTCTGAAGACTAGGGCACAAAGAAGGGAATGGGGCTACCAAGTGAATCTGTCTTTCAGGTGTGGGCCCACCGCTGGATGGATCTGTCAGAGCATGGCTTTGGGCTGGCTCTGCTCAATGACAGCAAGTATGGCGCATCAGTACAAGGCAGTGTCCTCAGCCTTTCACTGTGAGTGGGGTGCCTACCACACCAAGGACTGGCATGGGGTGTGGGCCTTACCAGGATGGAACTCCAGCAGCTCTAGCTGGGTCCTTACTTTCCCACCCCAGATTGCGGGCACCTAAGGCCCCAGACACCACTGCTGACATGGGGCGCCATGAGTTCACCTATGCACTGATGCCTCACAGGGGTGAGTTCTGGGGATACTGGGGTTCTCTTTGGGCCCTAGACACCTCTGCCCTTCTCTGAGCTTGAAGCAGTCATTGGGTTAAACCCTGGGGCCTGGCCCCCAGCACCCTCTGGATGCATGGGGGGAGCCCGTTTTCCACCATGCCTCTCTTTCTGGTCATGTTCCAGGCTCCTTCCAGGATGCTGGTGTTATCCCTGCTGCCTACAACCTCAACTTCCCCTTATTGGCACTTCCGGCACCAGGCCCTGCTCCTGCTGCCACCTGGAGTGCCTTTTCCCTATCATCACCAGCAGTCGTATTGGAGACTGTCAAGCAGGCAAGGAGCAGCATGGTCTGGGGGTTGGGTTCCTGACTGGGCACACCCACAACCTCTCCTACCACCTGCCTCCCTCCCCAGGCTGAGGCCAACCCCCAGAGCTGTACACTGGTCCTGAGGCTGTATGAGGCCCATGGCAGCCATGTGGACTGCTGGCTGCACACATCACTACCAGTCCAGGAAGCTGTCCTGTAAGCAAAGCAACAAGGTGGGGATGGAGGTGGAGGTGGAAGTCCTACCTGCTCCAGGCCCTCATAGGCCCTTTCTGTTCTCTAGCTGTGACTTCCTTGAGAGGCGAGACCCTGCTGGCCACCTGCCCCTTCAAGATGCCCGACTAAAGCTCACCTTTTCTCCCTTCCAAGTGAGGTCCTTGTTACTTGTGCTTCAGCCTCCACCAAACTGAGGATGGTGTTTTGTGTATGGAAAGTTTTGGGAAGTCCTCATTTCTGCCCCCCAAACCTGAAACAAGGATCAGCCACTTCTTATATAATAAATCCTTGGATCAGTAACCCTGCTGATAATTCCTCCCGACTCCCAAGAATTCATCCTCAAGCTTAAGGGGATGGCTTCTTCCCAGGTATATAGAAGCAGAGACAATATCAAAGGGGACCTTTGTGTGCAGGGTGTGGGCTGCAGCCCCTGAGAGAGAGATTGGGGACCTTGGGTGACAATATGCCAAGAGACCCTGAGATAAAAAGCTCTTTCCCTGTGCCAGTGGGCAGAGAAGCTGTGAGTAGCCCAGGTCAGGCTGGTGAAATAGCCAGAGACCCTGAAGAACTTTAGACTAGAAGAGCTATAGAGCCTGGGCTATCTGAAGCCAGAGTCTCCACACTTTTGCCAAGTGACTGGCCCTGTCTTCTGATAGCTAATCTCGAGGGCTGGGATGGGAGCTCATTTTGCTCTGTCTCAGGATGAAGTAGCAGGTCCTTCCAACCTGGCCATCTCAGAGCTTCTGTAGCAAGCCCAAGAAGTGCCAAGAAAATTCAGTTTTATTAATTTAGTTTAAAAATGCATTTCTCACATGGGCTTTAAAAAATGTGGAAGGTGGGGCCAGGATTGTTGCTCAGTGGTAGAGCACTTGCCTAGCATATGTGGGGCACCACATTTAAAAAAATAATAATGTATTTATTTGTGTCCATCTATAACAACAACAACAAAAAAATTAAATGTGGAAGGTGAGGTACAATGAAAAATATCAGTTGTGTAGGGAACAGCCACAGGCTTGGGACATAAAGCCCTTAAAATACTTAGGAATTCAGATGGGCCTCCGGATTATTGGCAAGGAAAGGCTGATGCAAGCAACACAAGTCTCTTGCTAAGGGGCAAGATCCCTTGGATGGATTGTCAGCCTTATTTTTCCAGGGTCCATGGCACTCTGCGGGAAGAACAGATGAAACAGTTGGCTCAGACCAGCAGGCCAGGCTGGTCCCAGTGGCGTCCATCTCTGTTTGCATACTCCTGCATTGCCATCCCATTGGATCCTGAAGAGACACTTTCTAGGGGCCCCCTTCCCTCCCCAGAGGATGCTGAAGAAAGTCCACCTGTGGTTGCCTGTTTCCCCTTCCTCCTCCCTTTCTCAGGGACTGTGGGAGCTTTCAAGTCCTGTTGGAGGCTGGTCCCTTCAGGCTGCTGTATTGCAGTCTTCTTGGGAAGGTGTCTCCTGGCCCTTGGTGTTCTGGAAGGGGCCTTGTTTGGAGGTGGAAGGTCCTAGGCAGAGACACGTGTCCCTGAGAATCCATGGCGGGCTTTCCTCAGAGCAGTTCTGAGGTTAGTTGGGATTCACCATTGACCCCAACCCACCCAACTTCATCCAGAGCCTATATGGCCAGAGCCTGGCCTGAGAGGCATGGCCAGGGCAGGAGAGAGTGCAGGGGAAGAAGGAGGAGCTGGCAACCATACCTCCAATTTTTCCTTGGGCTGAAGCTGTGTTTCCTGGGATTTCTTTTTTCGGGATTTGCCCCCTGTAGGACATGAGACTGGAGCTGGAGGATCCTATGGCCTCAGCCCCTTTCTCTAGACTCCCACTCTGTGGGATTACTCCAGGGGTTTGAGAGGGATGGGATGAGGAAAGGTGCTAGAGCCCTTGCAAGCAAGTTCTTTATAGCTCTCTAAGCCTATTAAATGAGGAGTTGCTTACCTTTGGGTGCCAGAGGTCCAGGATCACCCTAAAATGGTACAAGGACAATTCTGAATCAATCTGGGTTAGGGTAGGGGCAGTTTTCCTTGGAGAGGTGAAACACAGCTGTTCAGATTAATATAGTTCCCCACCTAGTAAAAACCTCCCCCAAATTTAGTTCATATCAACAAAGCTGTCCTGCTCTTGCACTGCTCCACTGGCTAGACCCTGGGGGTCAGGAATGGTGACCCCTGAGAAGCCTCCACAGGTCCTAGGCATCTCCACCTGGGAAAGACCCCAATTCCTGCCCTATTGTGCCTTCCACCCCACAGGCTTCCCTAGAATCTCTTGCCTATGCCAGCCATAGAGTCCAAACCTGGAACCAGATGGTACGGCCATGCCGATCCCGCAGGGAACTCATGCCTGGCATGCCATAGCACCTCAGCCAGGCTCGAAAGGCAGCAAAGTCTTCCTCCCCGTGCTCTGGCCCGTAGCCTTTGCCCCCTATGGGACAGAGGAACCAGCGGAGGTCAGAGGGCAGACACAGGTTGAGGAGAAGTAGGGAGTCTGGTTCAACTTAGCCCAGACCTCAGCTGCACAAGCTGATGGACTGAGCCAGGGAGCCAAGCTCCCTCTCCTCCCACCTTTTTTTTTTTTTAATATTTTATTTACATATTAGTTTTTGGCGGACACAACATCTTTGTTTTTATGTGGTGCTGAGGATCGAACCTGGGCCGCACGAATGCCAGGCGAGCACGCTACCGCTTGAGCCACATCCCCAGCCCCTCTCCTCCCACCTTGATTGTGTGATTCTGAGTCATGGCTTCCCCACCCTGGAGTAGGGTTAAGAATGTTTGTCCTGTCCATTACATGGGTGGCTTGGGGGAACAGACACTTGCCAAGAGGAGGCTTAGTCTTTTTGGTCACAACCAGGTTTACGAACTCCCTCCTCCGGTTGAGGAACCGGGTCTCAAAGAGAACTGCCCCAGGGTTACACAGTATGCCGAAGCAGAAGTCACTGGCCATCTTGGCCTCCCCAGGTCTCACCCAGCTGAACAACTTCCTTTGGCACTGAGTGGCACAGTTCCAGTAGGTCTGGGTTTTGCAGCTTGGCCCTGATCTTCTGGCTCAGGGTCATCTCTGGACTCTGAAGAAGGGGCAAGGAGGACCTAGCTGTCAGCATGGGGCAGGGCCACTCTGAAGGCAACAGACTTCCTCTCTGTGCTTGGCCAAATCTCTGAGGCAGCTCATTCCTCCCCCTACAAACACACTGTTGAGCTAAGCAGGAGATACCCATGCCCTTGCCACCTATGCCAACATAAGGTACTGACATGCATGCTCATGCATCACCCCTCCCTCTTGGCACCCTCACCGGCCGGTGGTGCTGCAGGGCCTCTAGCACAGTGCGGGCCTTCTCAAAGGGAGGGATCCTCAGCCTGGAGTGGTGTGGGAGAGGAGACCATGTTAAGCATTAGTATTGGCACACCTACCCCTGAAGCCCTCATGCCCTTGGCCTGCCTGCTGACCGGTACAGGATCTCTGCCCGCAGATAGTTGCCAATGCCATTGAAGAACCTCTGGTCCAGGAGGGCCTCGCAGATGGGCCGGTCAAAGGCCTTGTCTGATAGGTTTCGTAGCACATTCTCCCTGGAGGGGTACAGCCTGATGCATAAAACCCATCCCCAAACCCTGGGGGTAGGGGAAAGGGCCTGAGAGAACCTGTTCCTGAGTACAAGAAGACTGGGTGTCCCAGCTCCCCTCAGTGCTATGTAGGCATCTGGAGCCTAAGTTTTCCAATCTATTAAATGGGAACAATATGGATTTAAATTTATTATGAAAGGTGAAAAATACCAATTAAAAGCATGTGTTCAAGCTAGGTGCAGTGGCACACACCTGTAATTCCAGTAACTTAGAGGCTGAGACAGGAGAATTGCAAGTTCAAGAGCAGCCTCAGCAACTTAGTGAGAACCTGTCTCAACATAAAAAAGCACTGGGATATAGCTCTATGGTAGATTACCCCTGGATTAAATCCCCAGTACCACCACAAACAGACACACAAAAAACATAAAAGGCAATATATTCAAGGGACATGCATCTATATATGGTTGTGTGTTTATCACCAAAATTCCTTAGATGACTTGGGACAATTTTCAGCACAAGGTCATCACAGAACCTCAGGGATGTCTGCAGTCTGCAACACATTGTCTAGGATTCATGGTTGGTTAGAGACCATATGTGGATTTGACATTGGTTGGTTCCACTCATCTCAGGACCCTAAAGACTGCCTGGCTATGTGCAGAAGGCATTTGAGAGCAACCCTTGGCTAGTGAGTACCCAGCAGCCCACCTCCAACTGTCAGGGTTCTCCTCATTCATGATGAAGAAATGCATCTTATTTCTTTGTGGAAAAAGATCAAGGAAGAGGAAAGCTGGGAATGTAACCACCATTTGACCCAGCTATTCCTCTTGGACTATACCCAAAGGACCTAAAAACAGCATACTACAGGGACACAGCCACATCAATGTTTATAGCAGCACAATTCACAGTAGCTAAACTGGCGCCAACCTAGATATCCTTCAGTGGATGAATGGATTAAAAAAAAAATGTGGCATTTATATACAATGGAATATTACTCAGCACTAAAAAAAGAATAAGATCATGGCATTTGCAGGGAAATGGATGGCATTAGAGCAGATTATGCTAAGTGAAGTTAGCCAATCCCAAAAAAAGAAATGCCCAATGTTTTCTCTGATATAAGTGGAGGTGACTCAAAGTGGGGTAGGGAAAGAGAGCATGGGAGGAAAATTACCTCTAGATAGGGAATGGAGGGGAGGGAAAGGGAGAGAGAAAGGAATAGCTAGGATGGTGGAAGGAGACAGTCATCATTATATGAAGTATGAAGATGTGAATTTGGTGTCAACATACCTTATATACAAACAGAAATATGATAAATAGTATAAAGATGTATTAAGAATTGTATGTGGGGCTGGGATTATGGCTCAGCGGTAGAGCGCTCACCTAGCACCTTCGAGGCCCTGGGTTCGATCCTCAGCACCACATAAAATAAACAAATAAAATAAAGATATCGTGTTCAACTACAGCTAAAAAATAAACATAAAAAAGAATTTCATGCAAAAAAAAAGAGTTCATGTATAATGCATAATTTGGCATGAACATACTTTATATACAGAGTTACAAAAAATTGTGCTGTGAATGGATAATTATGAATGTAATGCACTCCACTATTGTCATGAATGTAAGAAATAAATTTAAAAGAAAAAGATCAAGGAAGAATGACTGGGTGACGGGTACAAGGAAAGCGAGGCAATACTGGGGTTAAGGTAAGGGTGGAAGACTTGCTGGGTGGGGCTTAGATCCCCACAGGCTTCCCAGTGGGAGGACCAAGAAAACAGCCTCAATTCTCATCATGAGAAACTCCAGTGTCAGCTGGCAGAAAACCTGTGGCCTGACTCCCTAGGAAAGGGGAAGTGGAAGGAAGCCAGAACCATGCAAAAAGGTTTCCCTGGCGAGGCACCAGTTTCATGCCCAGGAAGGCGAGGAGTGTCAGCAGTGATCAAGTCTAAGTGACAACTGCAGACACAAGTTCCCTCTAGGAGGGAGAACTTGCCAAGTGCACTTCAGGTCTTTGCCTCTGTGATTTTTGCCAGTTAGAATGCTTTCCTCCACAGCGTTACATGGCTGGCTCAGTTCTGTCAGGCCTTAGCTCAAATATCACCTTCCTGGAGTGGTCATTCCCAAGGTACTCCCCTACCCTCAGAGTCACTCTTTTCTTCCTTCACCTGTTGGATTTTTCCTGAGGCATGTGTCTATTTGAACTCATCTTGTATTTCCTGGTTCCCTCATCCTACCGGAACATTAGTGCTGTGGGAGCAGGGGCCATGTTCTTGCTCACTCCTGAACCCCAACCTAAAATAAAGCCTCACACAAAACAGAGACAGAGACTCACACATAATTTCCTCTTTAGGGGGAAGGACATGGCTGACACCATGTTATCTTTGACCTGAATCACATCCCAAATGAATTATTACTTTTCCTATAGGCAACCATTAGTCATAGAGGAGACCACAGGACACAGTGCAAAATGTGGTAGGGCAATAAAACCTGACTTAGAAACTATTATCATTAGGTGGTCGCTTTCACCTATGTAGCTTCACCTCTACTGTGTTGCCAAAACCCTCCACCTTTCCTAGCCTCCTAGGAGCACCAAGGAGCAGAGTGGAATTCTGAGCGTGAGCTCCAGCTCCAATGGTAACTGGCTCTATGTCCTCAGAGCAGTGCCCAACCATCCACCTCTGGGCTTCCTTCACCTCCCACATCTGTCTTAGGTTTCCATATCCGTTGACTCAGGGAGCTAAGGGACAGGACATGGACACTGTCTTGGACCACATCTGAGGGAACTCTCTGAGGGCTGAGACCCACACCCTGTTGGCCAACAAGGCACTTACCCAGAGCCAGGCCTGGACCTACTCCTGTTCATTACACCTGGGGCTGTCCTACCTGAACTGTTCATATTCCAGCAAGACACAGGGCCCACGACCTGGCTGCCACTTGCCTCCAGGGTCCCAGTGGCCAAATCGGCGGATATCCACGAAGCACAGAGCCAGCCGTGGAGCAGGTGGAGCTGTGTAAAAGCGCAGATGGGCATGGGGTGGCAGTGCATCAGCAGGTGCCAACTGGAAGGAGCCAGACATGCCAAAGCGGAAGATGAGGGCCAGCGGCTCCTGTGGGGGCTGGGCCCCAGGCAGGGGACTCAGTGTCAGGCGCAGCTCTTTGCCCCGGGCTGAGGCGGAAATATGATAGGCACTGCTCTCAAAGGGCACCTCAGGGTTGCGGCTGACAGAAGACTTCTCCACACATCCACCAAACACCAGCCCTCTGCATGCTTCATTCACAAAGTGACTGGCCAGATGCAGCTCAGGGCCCTCCGGCATTCTGTGGGAGTGGCTGTGCCCTGTAAGGGGAAGGAGGGCCACAAGTTGGGGAAGGTGGCACCTTATGAGGTAGGAATTATCACCTGTGATTTACAAAGAACTGAGTGACATAGCCATCTGGGACTGGCAGGAAACTGCTGGCCTGGCTAAAGTACTGGACAGTCAGGGAACTGGGAGCTCAGGCTGGGGGAAGAGCAGGACTCTCTTGTCTTCTGCTGGGGAAGCAGCAGGACATTAATGTCTTCCTTCCATTTGCTGGTTGCTTCCCCCGCCCCGCTTTGGTACTAGGGATTGCACTCAACCACTGAGCCATATCCCAAGCCCTATTTTATATTTTATTTAGAGACAGGGTCTCACTGAGTTGCTAAGTGCCTCGGATTGCAGAGGCTGGCTTTGAATTCATGATCCTTCTGCCTCAGCCTCTCAAACCGCTGGGATAACAGCCCTGAGCCACTTGGCCCAGCTTCCTCTGCTGCTTTCAGAATTAGGTCCCAACCCCTGCTGGGTGCCTGCATCTTATGCCCGCGCCCCCCCCCACAAACTCCCCCACACACACCCCACACACACTTGCTCCAAGCACACTGCTCTTCTCATCTCCAGGTCTTTTTCCCAGCAGTCTCTTCCATTGGGACACTTGAGGGAAGTCCTCTCCAATGTACCAGAGATAGTATCTCCCTCCCCCCCACCTTGTCTTTTTTCTTGCGGCCTTCCACAGTCTGAAAGAATCTCACCGAGTCTCCACGCCTCTACCTGCCATGGCAACCCAGAAAGTAAGCTCTGCTTACTCATCACCCCACCGTTTACATGGCCCTGCATCTGCCCAGCACCCACCAAGGGAACGTGCCCAAGCTGGATGGGACTCAGGGGGCTGCATACCCACACTGGGACGGCTGTTAGCTACCAGCCGGCCAGGACTGCGACGGGCTTGCCTGATCAGAGAGGGATCCAGGACCAGGACGAGGGAATGGTACGTCTGTGCCGGAGCCAGGTTCTCATACACCCGAAGGGGAGGTGGGGACTCCAGGAAGAGCTGCCCGAGCTCTGGGCCCTGGCCTCCAGGGAAATGGAGATGCCGGGTAGGCGCCCCGGTCCCAAGGGACGTTTAACTTACTTCTTCACTTTTGCCCAGCCTCTTTGCCACTTTCGTCTGATGCCAGGACTTTTCGGGATTGGAGGCGAAGGTGTGTGTCGGGTAGCTGGGGGGCATTTAACCTGGACAAACGCCTTTACTTCGCCCTCCCCCACTTCGGCACCGCCGGGGTCTGGTATACCTTCAGATTTCCAGGTTTTCGAAGAGGCGGCGCTCTATGGCCCTCCCCTGTCCCGCTCCCGCTGCGACCCAGTCCTCCGCTAACTCTGGCTTCCTTCCTTCTCCAAGTTCCCAAATCTCATCCCATCCCATCCCATCCCATCCCATCCCATCCCATCCTCAGCTCCGCGGCGCACTGCCACATCACCCGCGCTTCCCGGAGTACCTGCGCTCAGTGCGGATCGCAGGCACTGTGCAGTCACCGTGCAGTCACCGAGGGGTTAATGCCAGAGCCTAAAGGAACTCTGGGAGTCGTGGTTGCCCCGCTGGCGCTTGCTGGGAAGTGTAGTTCCTCGGGGAGATCGCACAGACTGAGATGGGCCCCCCTCAAGCTGGGGGATTCCTGGATATGGGACAACCTTAGAGACAGTAACCTGGCCGAGTGGTGGAGGAAAAACCTGTCTTCCCGCTGCCCGACGCCAGCAGGAAATGGGGTCAAGTCTGGAGTCCTGAGTTGCAACGGTGTGTGCAGTTGGGGGAAGTGGTCGGCTAGTCCCGAGCAGAATCAGCACCCCCAGCAGGAAACAGTGACGTCCCAATGCAAAGCCACCTGCAGCTGTGCGCAGGATGCTCAGGTGCACCATAAACGTAGGCCCTGGGGACCCAGTGATGGCTTTAAGTGTCCATCATAACACAAACAAAAACATCGTCACTGCCTGCTGGGCGGAAAGGGCAGTGAAGCAACAAAAACCAGACGCCCAGAAGTTGAACCCACTTCGGATAGTTCTGACTCCTGTGGGGGAAGGTTGCTTTGCAGAGACATTTAGGCTACGTCGGATTCACAACGCTAAAGTCTGGCTGTCACAGCCTTGGGCACAAAAAGTGTGAACAAGATAGTATGCCAGGCAGGAAGGAACCATGCAAAGTCTCCCAGATGGGTTGAAAGAACCTGGAAAAGTGCTGTGTGGCTGCAGTGTAGCTGGAGGTAGTGCTAGATGGGGAGGACAGAGGGCTCTATTGGACCTTGGGAGGCCTCTCTTAAGTTGCATTTTGTAGCAGGCACTGGTGCCTGCCCCTACCCATGACATGCCCTTCATCATACTACTTATTTATTCACTTCTATTGGCCAGAAGCCTTTAAAAGTAGACAAATCATGACATTTCATCCCCAATACTTCAGCATCTACCTCTAAAAAGCAATTTCCTTGCAAAGCCAATACCTTTATCATATCAAAAAAAGTTAATAACTGCTTCTTTTTAAAAAAATATTCATTTTTTAGTTTTAGGTGGACACAATATCTTTATTTTTGTTTATGTGGTGCTGAGAATCGAACCCAGTGTCTCAAGCATGCCAGGTGAGCACGCTACCAGTTAAGCCACATCCCCAGCCCCAATAACTGCTTCTTAATGTCATCTAATACCTAGTTCACATCCAAATCTCCCTACTTGTCCCCAAAACACTATTTTTTGGAGGGGGAGGGGTTTGCCTGGGATTGAACCCAGTGGTGCTTAACCACTGAGCCACATCTTCAGCCTTTTTATTTTTTGTGACAGGGTCTTGCTAAATTGCTTAGGGACACCATGACCAGATATATAGTTGGTTTGTTTTTCCCATCCTACCCACCTCATCCCCTTATCCTTCCTTTTATTATTATTATTTTTTTAATCTTGATACTGACCTTTCTGAGAGTTCAAGTTGTTCCTTGGACATGTGAGTCACATTCACATTCAGGATTTCTCTGAATGTTTCTCAGAGTGTCATTAACTTGTTCCACTATCTGGAGTCTTTTTTGCATGATGGAATGAAGGCTCAATGCTGGATCATACACATTCAGTGTTACCTCTTAGATGCTGCTGTATACTTCAAATTGCATCACATCAGGATGTACAAAATACTGGGTTATGCCACTTTAGTGAGGATCAAACTGATTATGGGGGAGGCTGTGACAGTCAGACTTCTGCATTTTTTGGTTGTTGTTTGGTACCAGGAATTGAACCCAGGGGTGCTTAACCACTGAACCACATCTCCAACTATATATATATAAATAAATAAATATATAAACAGGGTCTGAGTTGCTTAGGGCTTCACTAAATTGCTGAGGCTGGCTTTGAATTCACAATCCTCCCAAGTTGCTGGGGTTACAGGCAACTTGTGGTGTGCCACCACACCCAGCTAGACCTCAGCATTATGAAAAGTGTTTCATACCTTGTGATCACTAAAGTAACCTATGGTGTGCTTTGATTTTTTGTTCTCTCATTTGTTTCAATTAAGATATAATTTATATACACTAAAATTCCCCTTTCAGTGTGAGTTTTGACAAATGCATACAGTTGTGCAACTATAGCCACAATCAGGATATAATATACATCACAGAATGACTCTCAATAGATAAGACATGGAAATAACCTAAAGGTCCATCTGCAGATAAATGGATTTTTTTAAAATGTGGCATATACACACAGTGGAGTAGTATCCCAACTTTAAAAAAGGGAATCCTGCCATAGACAACAACATAGATAACCTTCAGGACATTATGCTAAGTGATGTGAGTTAGTCACAGAGAACTAATACTGCATGTCTATTTGAGGTGTCTAAACAACAAAGATTAAAGCAGAAAGGAGAGTGATGGGTTATCAGAATGAGGGCACAGAAGAGGGGAAGTTGCTATTCAATAGGTATATAGTTTCAGTTATGTAAGATGAGTAGAGATCTAGAGATCTTCTTCTTGGACTCTCCCTGCCCCACCCTGGTATCAGTCTTTCCAAAAGGAGCTCTGGTTAGCCTAAGCCAATCCTGAGACCAGACAACTTAGCTCTAGCTGCTAGAACGGAAGTCCACCAACTGGGTAGTTTAAATTTATTTCTCACAGTTCTGGAGGCTGGGAAGTCCGTGATCAAGGTACTAGCAGATTCACTTCCCAATGTGAGCCTGTTTCCTGCCTTGTGGACAGCCACCTCCTTCCCTGCGCTCACAGAGCCCTTCTCAGTGCACACACATGGAGAGCATGGCTTCCACATTCAAACTGTAGGGACATCACCACTCAGGATCACTGAAGTTTCTTCCCCTCATGCTCCTCCACTAAGGCAGCTGAGCTAGGGAGGCTGTTAGAGGAAGCTGTCGCCACTGAGTGGTTCAGGCCTGGGTTCTTCTCTCTTTCTACAGAAGAGGGCAGACACAGGGCATTTGGCATCTGGGCCACTCACTTGCTACCAACCTGAGGACAAGACCAGTGGAGAGAGGGCAGAGCCAAGAGCATCACAAGTCTAGGAGCCAGCACCCTATCTACAAACACTCCTATCTACAGACACACTGTTCATTTGGGGCTTCAGTCAGCAATGAGAAAACGAGTGATGGGCCAGGTCAGAATGTCACTTGGTTTCTTTCACAAAAACCCTTAATTAGAAAAAAGAAGAAGAAGGAGGAAAAAAAAAACACCCTCACATATACTCCTTTACATTCCTGTTTATTTTTCCTGCTCACAAAAGCACCTGAAAGTGCCTTTCAAGGAGAGAAAATGCTAGAGCAGTTCCTCAGAAGCCCAATGCTGAAGTCTCAAGGAGGAAGCCAGGAGACCAGACCAGGCACCCCCAGCATCCTAGAACTGGGGCTAGGCCCAGAAGAGTTTTAGAGGGCAGCAACTCGACACACAAAGGGCAGCTCTGCACAGGTCAGGAGCACCCTTCTCAGCCCAAGGAGCTCATCAGGCTCTGGGCCTGCTTCAGTTCTGCAGAGGCAAGAAATGGACAGGAGGGAAGCAGTCAAATGAGGTCTGGGAGGGCCCCTTACCCCTCCAGGTGCAGCTGAACCTCACCTGCCAGGAGAACCTGGAACTTGTCTGCTGAGAGGGACATGACCACAGGCTGAGCCGAGGCACCTGGGGCAGGTGCCACCTCCAGTCGCAGGTGCACCATGGGCTCTTCCACAGAGTGCAGCAGGCTGGAGCTGAGAGTATAGTCCACCCTCCAGCCCACTCCTGCCAGCCTGTTCACTGTGGAACAGGGTAGGGCATCTCTCAGGCAGGCGAGCCAGGCAGCCTGCGGTCCACATCCTGGTTTGGCCTGTAATACCTCAAGGCTGTGTGGTCTCTCAAGCTCTTGCCCTTTGACCCAGGCTTGGTACAGGGCAGGTACTCAGTCATTAAGAATTCAAATATTCACCACAAGCCTCAAAGAAAATAAAAACTTCTAGACTGCAGTCAGGAGATCTATGGCCAGGTCCCAGCTCTGCACCTGCTCCATGTGCTGAGGCCTCAGAACTGGCACTCAGCACACTGCGTGCACCTTCCAGAGTGGAGCCTGGCACCTACCCTGCTGGGCCCCATACTCACCACGTAAGCTGCAGGCCCGTAGGTGCTCCTGCAAGGGACTCTGCTTCTCCTCGTAACAGCGGCACAGGCTGGCTGCATGCTCTAGGGGAAGATGGCAGTTGGTTGAGGTGGCAGGTGGGGCTATGGATGGGACCACCCAGAGGGCAGGTTTCGGACTCCAAACCCAGAATGGGCAGGCACACCCCAGGGTCACATAGCCTGGCCTGCTCTTTAGCAGCCCTTGCCCACAGGCTAACCACCTGCCCGTCCCCATCCTGTACCTTTGGGCAGTCCCAGCTGCTGCAGTTCACTGGACAAGGACTCGCCATCCACACTATGCTTGGCTGCACTGGAGAGGATGAAACTCAACACAGCGACTGTGGCCTTCACATCACCTGACTCTGCAGACCCATAAGTGGCACAGGGTGTCACTGTGGCTCCAGCCACCTTTCTGTTGCCCTTTCATCTTCAGCTCAGAGCCCAAAGCTTCCTTGAGCCACAGGCACTGCTACTGCCCCACCAGAAGCCGGCAGAGGATGGGGGCAGGATCACTGAAGTTTCTTCCCGTCATGCTACTCCACTAAGGCAGCTGAGCTAGGGAGGCTGCTAGAGGAGGGGTCCTCCATGCCAGCATCAGGTTGAGAACCCAGGACCACCCAGGGCCCGTGGACACAGTGGCTACTCACCAAATTTAGCATCAGCAGTGAGCTTCAGGATCTTTTCATACTATGGGGAAAGGAGGCCCTCAGGGGGGTGCCAGAGCCCTGCTCGGCAGCCCCCACCCCCATCCTGCATCCTGTGTGAGGAACAGTCTGGGGCTGAAGAAAAGGATGGGGGTGTCCAGAAAGGCTGGGAGGCTGGATCATCCACCTTCCTGGGGTCATAAGGTCATGTGACAATGGGATCCTGGGCTGTACTTACATCAATCCCCTGTCCCAGAAGCTCCTTCAGCACCTGGCTACACAACAGCCGCAGCTTCACAGAGGACTGGAAGGAAGTGCTCATATTAGCCAGACTGACACATCTCACCCCTCATTGCTCAGGGACTGGATCAGACAAGGCTAGCCATGTGATCAAGGTCATGCAGCATGGGAGCATAGGCTGAGAGCACTGAGGCCCCAACCTAAGTGAGATCCCCACTTAGATCCCACCCTCTACTTTCACAAACTCCAGTGCCAACCTCCTCTCCCCCCACCCTGAGAAGACTCCAATCACTCAACAATCTTGGCCAGTGTGCTGATCTCTGCCAGGACCCAGTCAGGACAGTCCAGATCACCACAGAACCGGAACCTCTGCAAAGGAATGAGGCAGGCTCGCTGCAGGGAGGGCTGAGGTGTGGCCAAGATCCATGTCCAATCCATGCCACTTGCCCTCCCCTATCAGGGAGAACTCTTCTCCCTGACCCACAACACCACCAGATCTCGTTGGTGTCTACTCCAGGCATTGCTTTCTCTTTAACAGATCCCATTCTGAAAGCCCAAGGTTCAGCAAGAAACAAGTCTCTCTTACCTCCACTCCAACCCCACCACGGCTCCAGCCACACTGGTTCCCTGCTGTTCCCCTTATGCCAACCCCATTCCCACCTGCATCCTCACTGTCCCCTCTATGGTTTTCTCTCTCATTTCGTTCAGGGCCCTGCTTAAATGACCCTTTGTTGAGTGGGCCCTTCCACATCATACTTCCTAAAATGGCCCCTTGCATAAGGAAATTTGGGAGTCCATGGATATGTTCATTATCTTGATCATGGTGATCCAAGGCCCAGCAAGATTTGGCCTTTGCTTGCTGCCCTGCCTCACCTTTCCCCAACCCCTGATCAACTACTGTAGCTACGCAAGATGCATGCATTCTGGGGGGAACCTTACCCCCCTCAAAAGAGTCTGCACATACTTTTCCCTGTCTGAAGATACCTTCCTGCCACTCTTTTTTTAAAAATATTTATTTTTTAGTTTTAGGTGGACACAATATCTTTATTTTTCTGTGGTGCTGAGGATTGCACCCAGTGCCTCATGCATGTGAGGCAGGCACCCTACCACTGAGCCACAAACCCTGCCCGCTTCCTGCCAATCTTGCTTCCTAACCTCTAGTACACAAATGGACTTCACCCAGCCTGTTCCCACTCCACCCTCAGGTGGATTCCATTCTCAGGAAGCCTCCCAACACCATGCACAATGCACAGTCAGGCCTCTACCAATGGAGTCTTAACTATGACCCTCAATTCATGCCTCTGACTTCACTCCCTTACTGCCACTTAAGTCCAGCACCTGACATAGACCAGGCACTCATCTGTTGAATGAATGGATGGATAAGGTGAGAAGTTCCAATATAAAACTACTCTCTGGCTCTGGAAAGAGCAGAGAGGATTCTAATAGTGTGCAAGAGTGGATCAATTCCATGGAACTGGAGGACTGGGGCAGTGGGCACCCTTAGAGGCCCTCTTAGGAACCCTATAAGGATTCCTGCTCCTGCTCTGGGCTCTTTCTTCCAGTCAAAGAGCAGCCCTGGACTCTAAGCTGGTGGGTCTCATCTGTCCCATCCCTAGGCTGAGAAACAGGGGACGGAGAGGGGCCTTTCTCTCCTGGACCCTCAGCCCTCATCACCGCCCCCGCAGTGGTTAAGATGAGCAATTCCCCGCTCCCAGGGCCACCGTCACACCCTTCCCGCCCCGGCACCCAGGCATTACATCTCGGCTGGTGCCTCACCATCGCGCCAGGAGGCCGGGGCCCAGGCCTTGCTTCTTCCGGTCGCTCAAGGTCAGCTGATCCCGCGATCACGTGATCCGCCTCTGCGCCTGGGAGGGTAGGGCCGCCCCGCGGGAGTGCGAGCGGATCTCGGCTCGCTGGAGGTGCCAGGGCTCAAAGGCCAGCGCGAGCGGATCTCGGCTCGCTGGAGGTGCCAGGGCTCAAAGGCCAGCGCGTTCGCCTCTGTCTCCAGAATCCTTTCCTGAAAACCGCCAGCGCCATTCCCCAGTTTAACTGAGGGCAGAAGCAAGGCAGCGGGAAAGGAGGAGGGGAGTTATTTCATTTGTTTAACTTGGGAGGATCCCGGCGGCCAGGGGTATTCGGGTCTTTTCCATGTTTTCCACCATGAAGCATCGATTTACAGCTGTGGGTTGTGCGAAGGGCTTATTTTAAAAACTTTGTTGAAATATGGATACATATACAGGAAATTGTGCATAATTTAAGTATAAATTCTTTTCTAAGTATAAAGCTTAAAGAATTTTTGTAAACTGTACACCCCGTGTAACCAGCACCCATATAAGGAAAGAACGTTTCCAGTTCCTCTGCTCTCTCCTTCGAATGTGCACGGGTATTTTATTTCATTTTGACGAATCCTCCTAGGTGCTAGCAGAAAGGACTGTAACAATTTACAGGATCAGGAAAACCCTTTTCCATCAGCTTCACCAACACCAGACTTTTAATTTAATTTTGTCAGATCTGATGAGAGAAAATTTTTTTTCCTCTAAATTGCAGTAATGTGCTTGCTGAGTGACTCAGCAACTGTGGGTCTAGGAAAAGTAAGTTTCCAACGTTGACTTGAAAAAGCTTTTTAAAAAATTTTTTAAATTTTATTTGTTCTTTTTATATATGCATGACAGTAGAATGTATTTTTGGCATATTATACATACATAGAGTATAACTTATTCTAATGAGGATCCCTATCTTATGGTTATACATGGGTAACCCTGGTTGTGTGTTCAAATACAAGGCTAGGAAAGTTATGTCCCCTTACTTATACTGTCCTTCCTATTCCCTGTCCCCTCTCTTCCTTTTGTTTCCCTTTGTCTAATTCAATGGACTGCCTTGAAAACTTTTTTTTTTTTTAATCAGAAACTAGACTAAGGAATGAAGAAGAAATTGAGTAGTTTGAGATCTCTCCTCTCCTCAATGTTGTGGCTGTCTCATCTACACTAGGTCTGCTGGATATCACAGCCCTTTAAGCTTTCAAAGGACAAATAGGCCAGGGAGGTAGCTCAGTGGTAGAGTGCTTGCCCTGGATTTGATTCCCAGCACTGCAAAAGAAAAAGATAAGGAATAGATTTAGAGTCCATGAAAATTAAACTTCTTCATAAAATAGAAAGAAATCATGTCCCAGTTTGCGCTAATATTGATGCCATTCATAGAATTTTTTAAATCATAAACCCAGCATATCCAAGACAACAATGTGGGCTGGGGATGTGGCTCAAGTGGTAGCACGCTTGCCTGGCATGCGTTCGGCCTGGGTTCGATCTTCAGCACCACATACAAGCAGAGATGTTGTGCCCCCCGAAAACTAAAAAATAAATATTAAAACATTCTCTCTCTCACTCTCTCTTTAAAATAAAATAAAAAAACACAAAGACAACAATGTGTTAAAATATCATGCCATATCAAAATTATTTTAAGAACATTTGAATGGCTCAATTTGTATTTAATCATATCAATAGGTGGATATATTGAAAAAACATTTTTTAAAAAATGTTTTTTAGTTGTAGATGAACACAGTACTTTATTTTATTTTTTTATGTGTTGCTGAGGATCGAACCCAGTGTCTTCCATATGCAAGGTGAGCACTCTACAACTCCAGGCCTGAAAAATTATTTTTGATTTAAAAATAGAAAAAAGGAAATGAGAAATAGATGAAAACTGCCTTAAGTTGATAGAGTATTTGAAAACAAAAGAGCAAACATAACATCAGACAGACAAATTATTTAAATTTGGGAATAAGGTAAAAAGGTGGACAGAATGTCCTTTTTATGTCATTAGGAGCTTCATTTCACAGATATTTGCTTCACAAATTAAATTATTTGGTTACTTACAGCAGTGATTCTCAAATTTTGGAGTGTCCCTGAAGGACCTACAGGCTTGTTGGAACAGATCGCAGGGTCCCTCTCTGGACACCTACTTCAGTATGTCTGGGGTGGGATCTGAGAATGTGCATTTTCAACAAGTCCCTAGGTGATGGCAGTGCTTCCAGTTTGTTATCACACCTTGAAGACCACTAATAGAAAATGCAACTGAAAGTTACATGTTAACTTGCAGATAGAAATTCTGTTCAGTAGAAAAGATAACCTGGGACGATTATAGCTTTCTTGCCTTGTAGAACATTAACGAGTTTTGTCTCTAACTCAGCACACATTTCAAAGTACCTTTCCTGATGTGCTATAGATACTATCTCAATTGTTTTTTGAACTGGCTGTGTCATCTTGCTCATGTACAGGCCCAGAGCCCTGACCCACTGCAGGCCCCACTCCTTCCCAGTGTTCTCTAAGACCGAAGGCAACTATGGTAAAGTGCCCTGCGTCCTGGGGGCCAAGAAAGGTGAGGGGTTGTCCCACCTACTGTCTACCAGGCCCCAGAGCAGAGAATAGCTACATCCACCCAAGCCTAACACCATATCCTAGGGACTGGTCCACTTGAAAGCAGTAGCTCAAGCTTCCCCCAGTTCCCCAGAGAGGATTTCCTTGACCACAGGCACTACCCAGGCTGTGGGTGGCCCAGAAGCCTGAATTGGCATGGATGTAGCCACAAATTTGTCTCTCAAGAGCTTCCAGGGCTTCTGGTAACTGGTTTATATTTGGGTTTGCGAATAGAGGCTATCCCCCAGCAGGAAAGCAGGGAACAACTGTTACACACATCAGTCCTCTGCAAGGAGAAGTTCTCCAGGCTCAGGGCAGCTATTAGCCTTTGGCCCAGATGAGTGGTCCTTCAAATTGGGTATGGTGGTGCATTCCTATAATCCCAGTGTCTCAGGAGGCTGAGGCAGGAGGATTGCAAGTTCAAAGCCAGTCTCAGCAAATTAGCAAATCAGTCTCAGTCTTTCTAAGTAACTTAGCAAGACCCTGCCTAAAAATAAATAAAACGGACTGGGGATGTGGCTCAGTGGTTATGTGCTCCTGGGTTCAACCCCTGGTAATCCCCCCCAAAAGAGTAGCACCTCAAATGGGAGCCCCTCTTCCCACCTCCTTGTGCCCCTACTATCCTCACCTGAATGCTCTCCTGCCACCCCAGCCAAGTTACATTCTGGAAAACCTCTACATGTCCTTGGGAAGTCACTTCCTTCTTCTTCTCAGAGCTGTTGTCCCCACCCCATTCCCATTTGCTACCTTTCATGCAATGCAGAGAGATGACCAGTTTCTGTTCCTGGGTCAGAGCAGAACTTAAGGGGCCAGGTGGGCCTGATGGCCTCACTGTCCCCTTTGTCCTTCCTGCACACAGAAAAGGGGCAGGATGACTGGCCATCTGCCTTGACTCCCAACCCGCCGCCCTCCAGGCCAGAACTATAGAGTCCTCCCTCCTTTGCTCATCTGGAGTAGCAGCACTGGATGGAGGGATTTTTTTTTTTTTTTGTAGTGCTGGGGGTCAAACCAGGTCCTCTCACATGCCAAGCAAGCGCTGTACCACTGAGATACACTCACAGCCCTGGAGGAAGACAGGGATGGGGCTGATCTGAAGGGCGGGAGATCATGGACAAGTCATGGGGTACAGTGCAGCGGAGAGTGGTAGGTAGATCAAGCTCTCTAGGCTCACCTGAAACAGTGGAGCCAGCACCCCCTTGTCTAGCCCCACCTACCTCACAGGTGGAAAGGGGGACTTCATAGAGAGTGGAGGCAAGCAGAAAAGGCCAGGCCACCTCCATCTGACCTTTTACTGGCCTGGGTGAAGGGTAGAGTTCAGAGCTGGAGGTCTCCGGACTCCTGGCCCTGCACTAGTGGAGACAAGGCCCAGGCAGGGGCAGGGGCAGCAGCACCCAAGTCACGGAGCCCAGGGAGGAAAGAACTGACCAGAGTCCTGGAGCCCTGGTGCTAGCTTAGGGCCCCCTCCTTCCCCCACAGATTGAGGTGGTGTCCAGTTTGGCCTCTGGTCAAGATGTAATCTTCTGGCTTCTGACTCCAAAGCCTACCTTACCTCACCTTTCCCTCTTCTCACCTGAAGCTGGCATGAAAGTCCATATGAAAGGTGAGCATTTCCCTGAGCAGGGCTGCTGGGCTGGACACAGCTCCCGGGACTGGTGCAGGCAAGGTCAATCCCTGAGTCTTTGCAATTCGCACCCTCAGTTGAGCCTTGCCCCACCACACAGCTATGTTTGGGGCTTCATGGGAGGCCAGGGGATGTCAGGGACAAGGCCTTCCTGAGATATCCATAATATCACTGCTACTGCCAGACCCACCACAAACCCCGTGTCCCCCAGTCTGCCTCCCAAGCTTTCCTTGCCTCCCCTCCCCAGTCTGCTAAAAAGGGAACTGGCCCCATCCAGACCCACTGGAGAAGGGTCTTGGGAAACCACCTGTTGGGAGATTAGCTCAACCTTAGTTTACTTTTTCATTCCCCAAACATCCACTGTCCACATTGCAGAGGCTGGCTTTGAACTTGTGATCTTCCTGTCTCAGCCTCCTGAGCCACTGGAATTACAAGTATGTGCCACCATACCCAACTCATGTTGATTTTTTTTTTTTTTTTTTGGTACTGGAGATTGAACTCAGGGGCACCAACTGAGCCTCATCCCCAGCCATATTTTGTATTTTATTTAGAGACTGGGTCTCTCTGAATTGTTTAGCGGCTAGCTTTTGCTGAGACTGGCTTTGAACTCACGATCCTCCTGCCTCAGCCTCCCAAGCCACTGGGATTATGCCACACATGGCTCATGTTGATTTTTATTTGTTTTTATTGTTATTTTTTTGTTACTGGAGATTGAACTCAGAGGCACAAACTGAGCCACATCCCCAGCCCTATTTTGTATTTTATTTAGAGGCAAGGGTCTCACTGAGTTGCTTAGCACTTCACAGTTGCTGAGGCTGGTTTTGAACTTGTGATCCTCCTATCCCAAGTTGTTGGGATTACAGGCATTCGCCACTGTGCCTGGCCCCATGTTGATTTTTAAAA